AAAAATCCTAAAAAGTGACGTAACAAAACACCTACATGCGTCAGTGTTTTGAGTAACGAAAACAGCGCCTCATTATATGTGTTCTGCCCTAAGTGGGCTATTAGGCAAGCACAGCGCGAGATTATTGTCGTGGGTTTTTTCCGGGTACTCCGATTTCCTCCCACAGGGGAAGTTAACAGGATGGGTTTAGTAAAAGGGCCTACAGTAATTGACATATAATTTTTACAAAATTATACAGTGTTCTCCGGATTCTAATTATTTGTTTTAGAATAATAAAAAAATAATAATTATTTAAAAATAATTATTATAAAAATTATTATATCAACGTATACAGGAACGTAGCAACACCGCAAAACTTTAATTAAGTAATGTACATATGTAATTTTAATCTCAGTATTCTGAAGAAGGCTCGAAGTACCGAGTCGAAAGCTCAATAAAAATATATTTCAATCCGGAGAAAAAGTTGGTAGTAAAAAAATGTTAAAAATCTAAATCAGTCTGATTGTTTAAATTCTAAATGTATATAATTTAAACAATCAGACTGATTTAGATTTTTAACATTTTTTACTATACCAACTTTTTTAGACTTTTAAATTCAAACAATCAGACTCATTCACTCATCATACTTAATTATATACTATTCTAATTAGGACGACATGTATAAAAGACGCCTTAATATTGTTGTAAACAATTTTTTACCCACTGAAGAAGCCTTAACCGGCGAAACGTCTGGGTTATAGTCATTATATCTTTTTTATGCCTGAGGAAGTTCTTGTTTTATTTTTTTTAAAAACACCATTCACATTGAAACCAGGCATGGCAACCATAACGCTTTCATATATATATATATATATATATATATATATATATATATATATATATATATATATATATATATATATATATATATATATATATATATATATATATATATATATATATATATATATATATATATATATATATAGCACAATCTGCAGACATGCATGTTTCGTCAGTGCAGCTTGGTACACGTCTAGATACGTGAGACACTCGTATTTATATCCCATGAACTTGCTCTCACCAAGGCATGTGGTACAACACGGTGACTCAACGCACCGAATCGTAATGAGCGTAATGGGGCCAGAGCGTAATGGGGCCAGAGTGCTCAAACGACCACTAGGGGAGTGATATATATATATATATATATATATATATATATATATATATATATATATATATATATATATATATATATATATATGTATATGTGTATATATATATGTATATGTGTATATATATATGTATATGTGTATATATATATGTATATGTATATATATGTATATATATATATATATATATATATATATATATATATATATATATATATATATATATATATATATATATATATATATATATATATATATATATATATATATATATATATATATATATGTATATGTGTATATATATATGTATATGTGTATATATATATGTATATGTGTATATATATATGTATATGTATATATATGTATATATATATATATATATATATATATATATATATATATATATATATATATATATATATATATATATATAGATATATATAGATAAAGATAAAATAAACCTGGTTTACTTCATAAGATTTATTCACATTTTTTTTATGAAGTAAACCAGGTTTATTTTATCTTTATCTATATTAGCTCTATACTTCGGTATATCGAGCACTCTACATGTGTATGTATGTATATGTATATACATGTGTGTATATATATATATATGTATATGTATATATATATATGTATATATATATATATATATATATATATATATATATATATATATACACAAAAAATTCCATGTATGTATTAACGTCATATAACATTTCGGTGTTTTGAAATCACACTTGAAGACAATCTCGTTCCCTGAGCCTGCGATCATCGGGAAGGAACGTGAGGCTCTGGGATAATCCGTTGCCGGAAGCCAGGAATTCTGGCTAAGATTGAACTACGCATTCCATTTCAACGGTCAATCAGATTCCTCCCTGAAACGGATTATCCCAGAGCCTCGCGTTCCTTCCCGAGGATCGCAGGCTCGGGGAACGAGATTGACTTGAACAAAGTGTGTTGTGTTTTTACATCGACAAATTCAAAGGCTTTCATCTGGGATGTTGATTGATGTTACTAATTGAAGATAACCCTGCATAGCCTTATTGAGGATAACCCTTTGAACGAAATTGTTGGCTGCGAGCTGGCTACATCCAGTCATAATGTTAAATTCAAGGTATCTAACTGAACTACTGCAGTTTCGTAAATTTTCAAGATCACTACGATTTGTATCGAACAAACTATTAAGTCAACCGATGACTATTACGAAGACTGCATATGGTGATAAAGCATTTCAATTTGTGCACCTACAGACTTTGGAATATTTTACCTCGGAGTGGATATTCCCAAGTCATCTTTTTTCAAAATTTATTAGTAGCAAATCTTTATTTATGTAGATAACTTTACGTATCTTTGTTTGTATATAGTTGTTTTATTTTAAAATCATGTAAAGCGCCCTGAACAGCTCTGGATTTGGGCGCTAAGTAAATAAAGTTTTAATTATTATTTATTATTATTTGCAACAAATGCATTTCCATGCATGTCTGACGATCTTCTATGTCGCAGTTTTATTGAAATTCGTAGTGGTATTAAAGCAGTAGGCTACTGTAGTAGGAGATTCTTAAATTTGGTCAGAGATATTTATTCCTATATATAAAAGTAAGATTTTACCTTGCATTAGACGAAGACGTTTGTTGCCGGGACAAAATCACCAAAAATTGTTGAACTATATCCTTTTTGAAAACCCTGGATCTCGCTCTACTTGTCAGGAACTTACATGATGAGATATAAGATATCTATGGATGAGACCTTTCTCAGGAACTTACATGATGAGACCCTTGTCAGGAACTTACATGATGAGACCCTTGTCAGGAATTTACATGATCAGACCTTTGTCAGGAATTTACATGATCAGACCTTTGTCAGAAATTTACATGATCAGACCTTTGTCAGGAATTTACATGATCAGACCTTTGTCAGGAATTTACATGATCAGACCTTTGTCAGGAATTTACATGATCAGACCTTTGTCAGGAATTTACATGATCAGACCTTTGTCAGGAATTTACATGATCAGACCTTTGTCAGGAATTTACATGATCAGACCTTTGTCAGGAATTTACATGATCAGACCTTTGTCAGGAATTTACATGATGAAACCCTTGTCAGAAATTTACAGATCAGACCTTTGTCAGGAATTTACATGATCAGACCTTTGTCAGAAATTTACATGATCAGACCTTTGTCAGGAATTTACATAATGAGACATTTGTCAGGAATTTACATGATCAGACCTTTGTCAGGAATTTACATGATCAGACCTTTGTCAGGAATTTACATGATGAAACCCTTGTCAGGAACTTACGTGATAAGTCGAATTTGCATGCATGACATACATCCCAGGATGCTTGTTTGGGCAGTTGATATATCAGAGAACGAAAGGAAACCGGTTGAAAAATTGGTCGAACCGGTTTGGAGTCACCTCGCTAATTAAACTAAAAAATATTTCGGACCGGTCTAAAATTTGTAACAACGCTAATACAATTAACAACACTGTGCGGATGAGGCATTAATGTCGGAAGAGCAATAGTTTTGACTGATAAACTGTATTTGTTCATATTCTTTTTCTATTTTTTCAATCTTGTGGAAACGAGTGATTTTGCAGCGGCCTGTGGTCGTGCTCGTGCTTTTGCTGACTTCGCATCCCGACCCAAGTTTGAGATGGGCAGTTCAACGTCACCAGAACCCAGTCCTAGCGCGCTCGATGTGGATAGATTTGACTTTCCTGTCGCACAGAAAGATTCGGATGCAGATAAACATCGGTTTGAAAGTGGAGGAAGTTTTTATGAAGACGAAGTTTTGAAAACTGCCAAGAAAGATATTGCGGCTTTTCTTGGGTTAGAGGTATGGTCTATTTACTCGCTGGGGCACCCTGTGCCCGGGCGAGTATAGGTTTCGGCATGCATTTTTGGTGGATGTCAGATTTCCGATCCTCGTTGATAGCCACAAAATAGAGTATTAATGAGCTGCCTAATAAAATCCAAAATGGCGGCCTTTTGTGGAGTGGGCAAAATGTTTCAAACAATTTCGTTAAAATGATTTCTATGGATTTTGCATTGTGTCTAATTCTGGACACCCTTGCTAGTTTAGTTAATGCATTTTTCTTGGTGCACGACTCTGAAAATCCGAAATTTGGATCTTTGATTTCCCGTGCACAATCATAATATACTGAATCTGAATATAAACGAGTCAAAGACAATTTCAAGGTAAAAGAAAAGGTTATAAATTAGACTACACAACTTTTGATAGATAACTACTTTATGAGAAGCATATTGGTGTCATATCAATATAAAATTTATGCAACAACAGTCCCTAATTAATAGTATCTGTGGAAACGTGAAAACTGTAGTGTGAAATATGATATTGTATTTGTAATGCCTAATGTAATGGCGCAATAAGGATAAAAATTCCACCGTTCGATTCAGCGTAAGAAATTGTACTTACGGATGTCAAATGTATTTACACTAAACAGCAGCCGTATTCTAGCGATTTATGGCGAAATTGTATTGTTTACAAATCGCTTGCAGTACGTATTGTTGACAGACAAATCACTCGCACTACGTTTGCCGTGTTCTTCTATTTGTATTAATGCCTATAATGGCGCAATATTCCAAAAAGGATAAAAATACCACCGTTTGATTTAGCGTATTAAAGGGATACGGCAATATATTTTTTTATTATTTCATTTGGAAGAACTTTTAAAATTATATGTAAGTCTCTTTTACCGATTTTGCGTAACTTTATTATTTCTTGAGATATTTGAACAGAAAAAATCACAAATCAGCGAGCTTTCCGCCATCCTGGATTTTGGCGGATATGCATGTGACATAAGCAGGGTCACGCAATAATTTTATCCATAGAGCAATTGGTTATTATGAGCCCAAAATCATATACTTCAGTAACTATTCGAAATAAAAAACTGTCTGACGGCTTTTTAAACAATATTTGGTCATTTAGATGTAGTTTTATATGGCTAACCCTGCTTTTGACGTCACTAAAATCACCGAAAATGAGATAAAAATTAATTCAAGATGGCGGACAGGAAATTATTTTAAAGCCGGCTTTCCACTTGCGAATTTTTTCGCGCGAAGCGAATTTTTCTTTTGTCTTTATCCACTGAATTAGTTTCAGTTGAGAGACCAAAGACAAATGAAAAATTCGCTTCGCGCGAAAAAAAATCGCAAGTGAAAAACCGGCTTAAGTCGAAATATTTCAAGAAATAATAAAGTTACGCAAAATCGGTAACAGAGATTAATATATAATTTTAAAAGTTCTTTAAAATGAAATAAAAATATATATATATTGCCGTATCCCTTTAAGAAATTGTTCTTACGGATGTCAAATGTATTACTAAACAACAGTATTCTAGCGATTTATGGCCTTTGAAAATCAAGCGAAATTGTATTGTTGACAAATGGCCACAAATCGCTCGCAGTACGTATTGATTTTGTTAACAAATCACTCGCAATACGTTTGTCTTTATTTATATTTGTATTAATGCCTAATGGTGCAATATTCCCAATAAGGGATAAACTGAATACCACCGTTCGATTCAGCGTAAGAAATTGTACTTACGGATGTTAAATGTATTTACTAAACAACATTATTCTAGCGATTTATGGCCTTTGTCTCTGAAAGCCAAGCGAAATTCGGTATTGTTGACAAATCGCTCAAAAATATTAAACTAATTATAAAAAATGCAGTACGTTTAATCCTTGATAATTTTGGTATCGTGGGGGGTTTTTTCGGCCGTAAACCAGTGTATTCGTCTCACTTCTCTCTTCGTTTTGATAGTATTTTGAGCCCAAAAGCTCCAAAATATTTTATTTTGAACTCTTTAAAGCGCAGTTTAATCCTACTATCGGCCGACAGAAGAATGTAGCGTACTAAATATAACTTACTTGTAGGCGGAAACGCCGTAAGTTTTCTTTGTAGGGCACCGCATTTTAGTATGGGAGTTATTGAAATCTCTCGTTGAAATTCGTATATTGCTGAGCTGGCGTCTTGTTTTCCGTAAATATTGTTCTGTTTTTCTGCAGCGCTTACCAAATTTTGAGCACATATGGTGACAGAATTTAGTTCATTTGTATAGCCCCAGCGAGTTAACGCTCTATAGAGCGTCTTGTTACTATATATTGAAATTCTTGGGTTTTAATTACGTGAGATTGTAGCATAATTTGTCAGTGAGTCATTGAACAGAGGTGAACTACAGCGTGTATGAAAAAGTGACCTTTTAGAAATCACCTTTTTGTTATTAAAGCGTGTTATGTTTCACCTGGGAATTTAATTAAATACTCCTTGCTCTGTAGTCAGTTGAACCATTGTTAATCGATTTGGTTGGCGGGATTCATTTCTAAGTCGTTTTAACTTTCAATTAGAATTTTTATAACTCCCAGAGCTAATGAAGTTTGAGTGTTTACAACAAAAGGATAATTTCTAAAGGGTCGTTTTTTATATACACCCTGTATAACAAAGAAACAACATGCTTCAGAACATCTTATGTAAATGAGTTCTCCAACTATTATAAAAGCCTTCTTTTACCGTTGACACAGACCCTTGATTTCCACGTGATGTCATATGAAACCTGGGGATAGTTTCCTATTGATCTCATAACTTTAACTGGACAGCACTTCCTATTCACAAACACACTGTATCTTGTCTCTTTACAATTTTATGAGTGATTATTAGCTAACATATATGTGTGCCTGAAAGTTTTTGCATTTGCCCGTCTTTTGACTGAAAACGAATAAAACATCCTTTACTAAAAGCTGTTATAATGAACGGTGAGACTCCAACTTTGAAACTGACTTCGCACAAAATATCGTTCGTAACAGCGGACAATTTGGCTTAAATTTTAACTGACAGTTGACATCCAAAGACACATATTTAAACCCAGAACTTTTATATTGACGACTTTGTAATTATTTATGGCCATAGGAAAAAGACGAAAGTTTACTTGACGATGTATTGTGTTCTGCTGTGATTCCAAAAGGAACGCTTCTCGTTACACAAGGCGAAGTGGTAAGCTTAAGAATGGATTGATTATAAAAATAATTGATGGTTTATTCATTATTGACATATTTTCGCACCATGCAGAAGGTGAATTGCGATATGTTGACAAATTAGAGAATAAAAATTACACATAATCAAAAATAGGGATAACTACACTATATATTTAACAAATATTTGTTTTATAGGCTAATACAGCACAAAGAAACATAATGAAAGAAATGTTCCGACGTTTCCGTGTTGACATTAGTTATATCAACACGGCTCTTGACCAATCGGCGTTCAGAATTTACAAATGCTGTATTATAATACATTCTATAAATATGTTAAAAGCTCTATTATACTAATTTACATCGGTTATACGCAGGCTGCTACCAAACAGCAATTTTAAACTTGTCCTCTTCCGCCATGTTGAAAGCTTATAATTTGGTTGGGCGAAAGCTTTGTGAAATATTATGTTACAACCAACATTGTACCAGGGGGGTGGTGGTTTACAAAGATGTACATGAACAGTAATTTTTACAGCTAAGTATCCACAGAATTTTAACCATCATTGTAGGTTTTCCTACTAGCAGTTAAAAATTTCTGCCAAAGTGTGAAATATTTCAATAATTTTTCAGGACTGTAGTGTTTATTTCCTCATCAGCGGCTGCCTGCAAGTCTCTCAGAAAGACATGGATTCTAGCGAAGAGGTATATATACTATGTTAAGATAACACGGTTTTCATGGACCAAACTCACAACTTGTCAACAGGCTTGCATGCAGCAAGCTTGTAACAATAGTTGTCATTTCATCAAGTTGCTACAATGTTGTCACTCGCAACTTGTTAACAAATTGTTGAATTGAAGGACGATAACATGTTGGAACAACTTGTGACAAATCTTTTGAGTCGACAACCTTATACACGGATAAAAATTGAGAAAATCAACAACTTGTTCCAGGTTGATATCAACAGGCGTGAACAATGTTGTGCGGCCCACTATGAACAGTATTGTCAACATGTTGTTACAGCATTGTTCAACTGTAACAACTTGGAACAACATGGTTGACAACTTGTTCATAGTTGGCCGCACAACATTGTTCACGCCTGTCGATATCAACTTGGAACAACCTGTGCGTTTTTAGCCGTAGCAAGTTGTCAACAAACTGTTGACAAACTTGTCAACAAGATGGGAACAAGCGTTGCCAACACATCCTAAAGCGAGTTGTTGAAACAGTTTTGCGTGTGTTTACAAGTTAAAATTTTCTTTGATGTGGAGAAAGCGTACTACAATAAATTGCAGTACTTGTCAACTTTCGTTGAGATTTAACGTTGTCTTCTGTAATTAAGCGTTTGTTTATTGTGCTTCGCTTCCAAACATCATACAACAATTGCCTTAAAGAGGGAAGCCTCGCAGTGCCTCGGAAGGTCGTCTCCAATTGGATGGGGGGTTTTCTAAAGAACGAAGCAATTCATTGTTCTGAACACAAAAGCAATTGTCAAGTCGGGCCAATGAAAATCACTCTTCCGAGCTACTGCGAGGCTACCCCTTAAAGAAGCTGGGACACCATAACAGCTTAACGCCAATTACAGTGGGCATGACAAGCCATGTGAACTGTTTTCAAGCAACTATATAACCTTTAGAAACTGATGACATATATCCCATTTAGAACGTGTTGTACGTCACTCATCCTCGGGAATTCGTGGGCAGTCTCTCCGTCATAACTGGCGAACCATCACTGTTTACAATCAAGGCTGTCAAGTTTTGTCAACTTGGTGTCTTGAGCAAAAGTGATATCTACGGGTACGATTGTGTAATTTATGACTGCAGACAACTGTCTATTGTTTTTTCTCAAAGGTTGATACATGGAAGAGCTTATTCTGTGCTCATTTGATGTGATGAAATCACTCTGAGTCTCTGAATCTTACCCAGACCCATCCCTATAAGCCCAAGCTTCCAGCCACAAGTGGGACGCCCTACAACGAAAAATGGACGACTTTGGACGCCCAAATTCCGGGGAGGAAAGTGAAATGATTCTCAATGATTTCCCTAAATATATTAACATATCTGAAACGAAATAGCTTCAGTTTTCAATAGTATTATACATTTGACGTTTTGATCAATTTGATGGTGTGACGTTTTGATCAATTTGATGATAAAAATGTCGTAAAGAAGCATAGCGGCACAAAGCTCACAAAGTGTTTGAAAAATCCCCCCCCCCCCGACGTAGATGGGTCATTGTACCAAAATTGGACGCCCTTTTTCAGGATCCTGGATAAAAGGCCTGCCTAACCCTAACCCAAACTTCTCCGACGAATCTTTTGTGTGATGTCATACATCATTTGAGTGGAGAATAGATTTTCCCTTTGATACACATGCATTCTCAAGCTTTCGTGTTCATTTTAGTATTCTTCTACAAAGACCACGTGTTATTCTAAATCTCAGCAGTACGCTGACGTCACGATTGACACCGCTGGTCAGAAATATTGACTACGCTCTTGACTGGGTTCACATGGAAGCTGGACGAGCTATATACAGGTATGCTGTTGGACAGAATTTTGTGAAAATACTGTGTTTATAGCTATATTAACTATCAGTTCTAAACTGTTCTCCATGGAGGTCCAGTGAGGATCTTCTCTTAGAAGTCATCTCTTACTGGTAGGAGTCATCTCTTACTGATCCAGTGTTACAAGAAAGTTAAACTGAACTAACTTTATTTATACTGATAGCTCTTTCAGTTCTAAACTGTTTTTCCTAGAGGTCCAGTATAGGAGTCATATCCAGTGTTACTACCGGAGGAAACCTAAACTAAACTAACTTCATTTATTCTGGATAGCTCTATCAGTTCTAAACTGTTCTCCCTAGAGGTCCAGTAAGGATCATCTCTTATTAATCCAGTGTTACTACAGGAAGAAACTTGAACTAAATTATTTATACT